TGAGGCCGGTTGCACTGTCGCAGTGGGACAGGAAAAGCCCCAGCAGGGCTGGCAGTAATGCAGTGGCGGGAGGTGTATCTGCCACGCAAGGCTTCACCTTGTCTCATGGATGGGCTGCCCCAGCTTTTTCTGGGAGGGCGTGGATTCCTGTTGCTGTTTGCCTGGGAAGGGGATCTATTTGCATGGCTCTTGAGGGCCTTGCCTGCCTCTTCACATCATGTCCTGAAACTTTCCTCTTGGAGACGTGAGACTTCTGTTAGCCAACTGGACACAGAGTAGGGAGAGTGTGCCCTGTCCTTGCAGGCTAGGAACTTTTTCTGGCCTTTATTTGCAGAGCTGGTTTTCCCAGCTACCGGGGCTTGCTTCAAAATGTGGAGCAGCTAAACGGGATTTCATATCCGTTTCCCCTCCCACTCCCTCCTCTCAAACAAAGCTCTTACAGTCTCGGAAGGCAGAGCAGAAGCCGCCTGGTTAAGAAACAGTCATCAGTTCCAGTCTAAATTCTTGCGAAAAGGATAGGTGGTGGACCCCACCCTAAAAAATAGTCAACATGTCTAGCTGAGTATGCCATTAAAAGTATTTGGCGTTTCTTTTTTAAAAATCAAATTGAGAAGACCAGCACACATTGGCTGAAATCAGTTTGTTTCTTTTATTCTAGATGATTCTAGAATGAGATGCCCTCCAGATCTTCTGAATTTGAATGCGTTCAGATGGGTAGAACAGCTTCCAGGGGCCTAGGGTTCTGAGACCTCCAGGCCTGACCTGAAGTCTCCTGGTTTGCCTGGTGGTAGGTGGAAATAGAAAACTCCTGTGAGCTCCTTCAGGAAGACTTGATGCAACCAAGAACAGCATTACCTTTTGATGCAGCAGCTAAAAAGGCAAATGCTCTTCTAGGCTGCTGCATCAACAGAAGTCTAGTGTCCCGATCAAGGGAAGCAATAGTACCACTCTATTCTGCCTTGGTCAGACCCCACCTGGAATACTGTGTCCAGTTCTGGGCGCCACAATTTAAGAGAGATATTCACAAGCTGGAGTGTGCGCAGAGGAAGGTGACCAAGCTGTTCAAGGGTCTGGAAACCAACCAAACCTTATGAGGAGGGCGGTTGGGATGTTTGGCTGGAGAAGAGGAGAGATATGAGAGCAATATTCAGATATCTAAATGGTTGTCACTTCTGTTGGTGCAGCCTAGAATAGCATTAGCTTTTTTGCTGCATCCTCTGAGCTGTTCATGGACAAGGTATGCCTTCCCTTGAGGCAGTGGTGGGGAGCTTTTGTGGGGCTCCATCTTCCACCAGACCCATCCAGTGTGGTCAGCGGTCAAAGGTGATGGGAGTGGTAGCTCTGGCTTAGGGAGTCGATCCATTCTGTGCCTTAGTGGTTAAGTATTAACATCCTGTGCTGGCATCCTTTCCTGATTTGCTTAGGAACTTAGGTGGGGCTGTCCTGCCATTTCTAGCTCCTGAGGTTTGGGGTTCTCAAAAAGGGACCTCACATACATACTGATTTGCAACAAACTCTCCATCTTGTGTTTGTTTCTGGATCCTGCCACCTGAGGCAGCCACCTCACCTTGGGACTCTCACTTCTGCCAGATCCCTGAGGGAGCCCAGCGGGCCCAGAAGAAGGCCAGCAGAGAAAGGGCGGTGGCTTCTCCCCCATGCCTCGCCCACTGCACTGTGCAAGGAGAAAGAGAAGCGCTTGCCTTGGGCAGTGGCCCTCTCTACAGAGAACAGGGCTTGAGAGGAGCAGCCCTGTAGCCGGATCAGGCCCAAAGGCTCATCTGTGTAGCTGGATCAGGCTCAAAGGCCCGCTTCTGTCAACCGGCATCCTGTTCTCATGGTGGCTAACCAGGTGCCTCCTCTGGGAATGCCATGAGGAGGTCCTGAGCTCCACCGCAGACCTCTCCCCACTTGTGATTCCCAGCAATTCTGAGGCATTTACTGCTTTCAACAGCCATCATGTTCGCCTTATTGCTGGAGGGAGACCACAGCCTGGAAGCACAGGGCAGCCCCTCTCCTCCCCACAGGTGGACACTCCTAAGAGGAGCTTGGCTCTTCTTTCCTCAAAGTGCCTCCATCCCTGCAATGGACAAGGCCACCTGCCCAAACCTGCACATTGGCAGCTGAACCGCTAGAACAAAGTGCAGTGGGCTCTGTGCTTTGTTTGGTGGAGGGTGTGATGGCATCCCAGCCCCCCCTCGCCACTTACGCATGCCTGCAGCCTGCCACCCACTCCCTCCATCGTTATCCCTGGTGCAGGCTGCCAGGCACAGCCTTGGCGTGGACAGAGCCCTTCGTCGGCCGCTGTGCAAGGGCTCTGTGGGTTCTGGACCGTCCTGCTGGCATTTGAGCAGCACAAAGGGCCCTTGTCTCATCCAGGGAAACAGCTGGGGGAGCTCCCTGCAGTTGCTCTTGGGCTCATGTGACTCTGGCAGGGAAGGGCAGCCCATCCCAGCCCCTCTGTCCCAGCTTGGCCCTGGAGCTTCTCCTGGGCAGAGCTGCCTGGCTTGGGGGTCTTTGGTCCAGAGGAGGTGAGAGAGCGCACCATGGCAGGAGGACAGGCTGGCTATGGGGGTCTCTCTTAGTTCTGCAGCCGGCCAGCCTTCCCCAGGACGCCTCTTTCACACCCGTTAGCATCCTGCTCCCTTGCTGGGGCTTTGAGGGTGAGTTGGAAGCAGGGAGGCAAGTGGAGGGAAGAGGGCAATGTCCAGGTGAGCACTTCGTTTTTCAGTTTCTGAAGTGCCAATGGTGGGGTGATGCTCATGGGGGTCAATGGGTGTGTTGCTCTCCCTGGCTGTAAGATGGGACTGCTGCAGGGCTTCTTGGTGGGGGCCTGCTTTTAGGAATGAAGGGGACCCTGTGGCTGTGGGGAACTTAGCAAAGAGGGGCAACACTGTATGAATGCTTTGCCCCAAATGGAAGGGCTTGGGGCCCTGCTGCCATCTGTGTGGGTGTAGATGCTGCTGTCTGCACTGTTTGGAGAAAGGGCTGAGCAGACAGCTGCAAGGATTGTGACTTGTTGCTTGTTGTTGCTCTCAGGGCCAGCCCAATGATTTTACCACTTGAGGCAAACCCCAAAATGGTGCCCTCTCCTCTGCGCCAGGGAAGAGGGGTGAGCGAAGATCTGCATCAGGAACAAAGGGAACTATAAATCGACATTGGGACCCACTGCCTCTGTGGATCTTGCCACCCAAGGCAGTTGTGTCACATGGCCTCATGGGTGGGCCAGCCCTGGTTGCCTTGCTACTTCGAATCCCCAAAACCTGTCCTCAAATTACTGTTTAAAGGAAGTGTTAGAACATTGGGGGGAGCGTTCTCTCTCTTCTAACTCTGCCTGGTCAAACAATTTTGCAGCTGGAATTTGCCCCAGCCTCATTTCTGAGGTTTGTGTGGCTCTTCACACAAGTGCTTGGGCTAAAGGGAAGGACTTATTCCTCGCACAGTGAGCCCTTTGGGGAAGCTGGCCCAGTTTGGTGTGTGTGAATTGCCTGACCAGCCCCTGTGGCAAGTGCCCAGGAGGCTGGATCCCAGCTAGGCTTTATCATGGACTGGTTGGACGAAGAGGAACGGTGCAGGGAACCAGCTGGGGAACCCCCAAGGGAGGGAGGCTCAGAGCCAGGGGATCGGTGGTGGGATGAAAATGAGCGGTCAGAGGGAGAAACCTGGGAGGAGGAGGCGTTGGAAGCTGAAGAGGGGGCTTAGAGAGTAGGGAGTGTCTGTAGCAGAGACAAGTCCAGAAGCTGAAGCAGGAGGGAGGGAGGGAGGGAGGGAGGGAGGGGAGAGGCCAAGAAGAAGAGGTGAGTCAGACTGGTGAAGAGTCACAAGTGTTTTCTCCTCCTGCTGTGACAAGCTCCCCTCCCCCTGGTCTCCCAGAACCAGGAAAGGCATGAAGAGGGTGGAGAAGTCAGCTTCACACAGGCACAGACACAGTCTCAGATTGCTTGGGGGAAACCCTGGAAAGGAGGGGACTTAGGCAGCTTTGGGGAGGCGGGAACCTTCAGTCTCAGCAACTGCTTCATGGAGGTAAGACCTGTTAGAGATGAGTTGCTGTGCTCATTAGGCCTGGCATTCCTGTGAAGATCTTGTTTTTGCTAGTAAAGAGTTAATTCCAACTTGCACAGTGTCATTTACTGCTGGCTCGCTCCTGGCAGGCTTGCACATTTGAATCAGCTCCCAAGTGGGAATAATTAGGCAGAAATAAGCAGTTGTACAAATATAAGATGGGGGACACCAGGCTTGCCAGTAGTACACATGAAAAGGATCTAGGGGGTCTTTGTGGACCAAATGCTTAACGTGAGTCAAAAGTGTGGTGCAGCAGCAACAGAAGCTAATGCTATTCTTGTGTCCAGATCAAGGGAAGTTGCAGTACCATTCTATTCTGCCTTGGCCAGACCACACCTGGCATACTGTGTGTCCAATTCTGGGCAACACAATTTAAGAAGGATATTGACAAGCTGGAAGGTGTGCAGAGAAGGGCAACCAAAATGATCAAGGGTCAGGAAACCAAGCCTTATAAGGAACAGTTGTGTATGTTTAGCCTGAAAGAGGAGATTGAGAGGAGATATGATAGCCATCTTCAAATATCTCAAGGGTTGTCACATGGAAGATGGAACTAGCTTGTTTTCTCCTGCTCTGGAGGGTAGGACTTGAAACAATGGCTTCAAGCAAAAGAAAGAAGATTCCAACCAAACATTGGTAAGAATGTTCTGATGGCAAGAGCTGTTTGACAGTGGAATGGACTCCTTCAGGAGGTAGTGGACACTCCTTAACCGGAGGTTTTTAAGCAGAGCTTGAATGGCATCTGCCAGGGAGGATTGTGTTGAGATTCCTTTCCCTCACAATCCCTTCCAAGTCTAGGGTTTTATGACTTATTTCTTGCACTGCGAACCGTTCTGGGTAGCCCCTGAGACAAGTGTCTGGGAGTCTGTATCCCAGTTTGGCTTGCAGCTTTGAATCAGCCTCTGCCTGCCTGCACTGATGCTTACGGCCATGTCTCTTCACAGGTAGAGGATGGCGGGAAGGCATCCTTGTCGCAGAATATGTGTCCTGGGGACGAGCTGGTGAACATCAACGGGACGCCCTTGTATGGTTCTCGGCAGGAGGCCCTCATCCTCATCAAGGGCTCCTACCGCACCCTCAAGATGATCCTCCGGAGGTGAGAGCTTCGTGGGTCTCCCTTTGGCCTCACATTCTGTTGCCCTTCTCCTCTTCCTCCCTTGTTAAAGTTGAGTAGAGATTCCTGCCTTGCAGGGAGTTGGACTAGATGATCCTCGGGGGTCCCTTCTAACCGTGATTCCATTAGAAGACCTGCAGGTGCTGATGGTGCTCCTTAGAGGGGCTTGAGAAACGCACACCCGAAGAGGTTAGTTGACAGGGATCCTTATCCGATTTGGTGCTTCCTTGTCAGATGTGGGGCTCCTTTGACCAACTTGCTGCTGCCCTCCAGTGGCAGGAATTAGGACCTGCACCTCTTATTTGCAGCCAGCCTAGCGACAGACAAACAACAGGGTGGATGACAGGGCGCCTTGTTTCTTAGGGCTCATCCAGACTTCTGTGCAGCGTTTCTAGGCACAGGACTGTGCTTTAAAGCTCCCTGTCCGAGTTCTTGGAGGTTTTCTGCTACAGTGCTTTCCCCCTGAAAACTCAGCTGTTTGTGGCTGAATCAGAGCAAATGCAATCAGCACAAAATCCAAATTGCAATTCTGCTTTAAAGAGCAGGTTTTTTTGGGGACAGTGGAGGGGCAGAAAAAGAAAAAAGAGCTCAGCATGAACTAGGAAAATGTGGACCTGTGCCAATAAAAACATTTCTTTGACTATGAAAATAAGTGTGGATGTGCCCTTAAAATCACACACCCCTCTCTCACACCTGCTTCTGCAACTGGAGTTCCATAGGACTGGTCCAAAGCAGCCTAGATTTCATTCCCTCCATCCCCCATCAAACACCAACAATTTTTTTAGGAGTTGTAATATTTTTACATAATGATTTAAGGAATCATTAAACCCTTGGATTTCTTTTATGGGGCCAGCCAGGCCGGCCCACCCGTGAGGCAAGGTGATGCAACTGCCTCAGGCGGCAGGATCCACTGGAACAGCAAATCCCAATGTTGATCTTTCTTTCCCCTATTGTTCCTGATATAGATCTTCCTTTTCCCCATCTTCCCTCTCTCTTAACTAGTTTCAGAGGCACATGTTTTTCTCTGTGAAAACCTATTTAACGCAGAAAGCATGCTTACTCCATCTTCCATGTGACAGCTCTTTAGAAATTCATAATCTTGGTGGCCCTCCTCCGCACACCTGCCAATATCCTTTTTAAACTCTGGTGTCAGACCTTGACACAGTATTAGTGTGCCAAAACTGGACACAGGACCCCAGGTATGCTCTGACCAAGGGAAAATAGAGTGGTCTTATGATCTGGACACTTGACTTCTGTTGATGCAGCCTAGAAGAGCATTAACCTTTTTGGCTGCCTGCCAATATCCTTTTCAAATTGTGGCCACTGGAACTGGACACAGGACTCCCGGTGTGGTCTGACCAAGGCAGAACAGAGCGGTAGATCTTCCTCCCGAGGCCGATGACCTCACTTTTCCTGCCCTCTGTCACTACTGCTTCCTGCGTGGGGTGAGTGGAGGCAAGGCAGGACAAGGAGGCCTGCAGCTGTTTCAGCCAGAGGAGTCCTGGGATTCCCCCTGCAGCCAGGCTAGAGTGGACTGTCTCATCTTGTGGGGCACAATGGGGGGGGGCAGGAGAGCTCCTCACCTCTAAGACAAAAGGATCCCCTCCTCCCCACCAGGGAATAAGGGGTGGGTGAAGAACTAGCTCAGGAACAAGGAGGGAAGAAAGATCCACATCTTCTGTCCTTGCTATCTTGCCACCTGAGGCGGCCACCTCACCTTGCCTCAAAGTTGGGCCTGCCTGCCTGATGGGCGGACAGATGTTTTCTTCCCCAAGCTGACCTTTTTCCTAGATTCCCGTTGCTCCACAGAGCCAGGAAGCCCCTTTGCTGTTCCTTTGCATCATTTGGGGCCTCCAACATGACCACTGCCTGCTCCACGTGCTCCCTTATCTCCCTGGACATCACTTCCTCACCACTTCCTGGCTGGAAGGGGATGGGAATGGCGTCTGGCTTGGGGAGTGCAGGAGGGGGGCGGCGGCAGGAAACGCCTGCCCAGTAAGAAGCCCCTCCCTCTTGAGTAGGGATGGCTTGCATGTCCCGGCCCCTCAGCTGCTTATTCCCCACAGCTCCCAGCAGCGTGTGGGCTGGAGTCCTGGGGCGCTCCTTTGTCCTGCCAGACACTCGGACAGGTCTCCCCACTGCCCACGAACAGGTGAGTGTTCTGTGCCTGGGGTGCATGGGGCCATCCCATTTGCCACCTCCTTCTGGTGTGCCTGGGGAGTTCCTTGTCTGGAGGAGAGGGGGTGGGACGAATCCTCTCTTCACTGTCTCCTACCCTAACTGGCATGGGAGAAGACACCCTCGCTGCCAGGCCTGCTGTGCTGCTTTCTCTGGGGTCTGCAGGCTCCCACTGGCGAGCCAGCTCAGCTGGCAACTCCCCACAGCATCTGCAGGTAGCGCTGGGAGAGGCTCCTACCTGAAACCCTGGAGAGCCATTGCTGCCGGTCAGTCTGGGTGGTGCTGAGCTGGATGGGGGGAGAAGGGCCTGGCCCTCCCATGAAGGCAGCTGAGGCCATGGGCTCAGGCGGCAGGGTCCACGGGGGGTCCTGATCTTTTTTTCTCCCACCTTGTTCCTCCCACCTTGTTCCTGTTTCTCCCACCTGATCTTTTTTCCTCCCACCTTGTTCCTGACGCGGATCTTCCCTGGTGTGGGGATACAATTTTTCTATTCGCCTCCGGTGCCAAAATGTCTTGGGCAAGCCCTGGCTCTGCCTATGGGGGCTACCTATGTTCCATTTGGGAAAGCTCCCATCCTGGCATTTTCTGGTGGCTGAACAAGGGTGAGTCACCACCACCCTGTCCCCAAAATGAGATCTTGAGGGTTTGTGTGCTGCAAACTGCAGCTCTTCCCAGGTCGGATGTGTGAAAAGGGGGGGGGGGCTGCTGCTGCAGCTGTATAAGACAAGGGCAAAAGCATGGAAGACTTCCTCCCTCTGAATGACTCCTTCCTTCCCCAACCTTCCCGCTGTGTCTTTTGGTTTTTTTAAAGGAGCTACATCACTTTAGAAGAAAGGAGATTCCAACTAAACATCAGGAGGAACTTTCTGACAGCAAGAGCTGTTTGAGAGTGGGATGGAAGGTTGGGGGGGGGTCTCCTTCCTTGGAGGTTTTTAAAGCAGAGCTTGGAATGACATCTGTCCGGGACTTTAGCTGAGATTCCTGCATTGCCAGGGGGTTAGACTAGATGGGCCCTTGGTCCCTTCGAGCTCAACAAATTCTTTGATTAAATTGGCTCTTCCACAGACAGTGAAACGATCGCTTAGGGCACTTTCTGAACCATCCTCTCCCTCCCACCCATTATACCTGCTTGAGAAGCAGCCCTTACCAAAGTTATAGGAATCTCTCCATCCCCTACCTATAGCTCTGCAGGGGGCTACATGGGGGTGGCAGCTAGAAAAGGCTCCCAGCTCCCATCTCTGCATGTGCATCCTCCCCCTCCCCCCCATGCTGGCCTGCCAGAACGAGATCTTGCTTAATTCTGGCCAACCTCCAGACCCGCCTCACAGCACATTTTGTATAAATTCTGCAAAGCTGCATGTGGGTTGGCAGTGGGGGGGGGCTGTGCCTTGAGATGGCTTTGGGTATGGGGGAGAAGATACAGGGGTGTTTGAGTGGATGAGGGAAAGATGGAGAGAGAGAGAGAGAGAGAGAGAGAGAGAGAAAGAGAAAGAGAAAGAAGAGTATCTTAGAATCCTAGAATTGTAGAGTCAGAAGGGACCCCAGGAATCTCCAGCCAAGCATCCGTGACACATGGCCATGTAGCCTCTGCTTAAAAACCTCCAAGGAAGGTGAGCCCCCCGCCTCGTGGGAGTCTGTTCCACTGCCAAACAACTCTTGCTGTCAGAAAGGTCTTCCTAAATCCATGGGATCGGGTCCTGTCCTCCAGAGCAGAAGAAAACAAGCCCTTGCAATATCTCCTCTCATATTTCCTCCCAGTCTCCTCATTTCCAGGCTAAACATACCCAGCTCCTTCAAGCGCTCCTTATAAGGCTTAGTTTCCAGACCCTTGATCTTCTTGGCCATTGTCCTCTGTACACCTTCCAGCTTGTCCATATCCTTCTTAAGTGGTGGAGCCCAAAACTGGACACTGGACTCTAGGTGGGGTCTGACCAAGGCAGAATAGATTGAGACTAGGACTTCCTTTGACCTGGACACTCAACTTCTGGAGATGCAGCCTGGAAGAGCCTTAGCTTTCATTGCTGCTGCATCAGTCATGTTAAGCTTCACTCATGTTCAGCTTGTGATCCACCAAGACCCCTAGATCCTTTTCACATGTACTACTGGCCGGCCAGTTGTCCCATTCATGTAGCTGGTTCTTCATGCTGTGTGTGTGTAGCCTGCCCAGCCTTCTGATGGCCCTTAAGGAGGCTTCACAGTAGGAGCTTCTCCTGCGGTGGAGGAGGGGAGGTGTGCCTGCTGTTTTCTCTGGCTCATTTCCTCCCCCTTCGATCTGCTCCACAGGAGGGTTGTGCCTCTCATCAGGCCCCACTCATGGCACCTGGCCAAGCTCTCCGAAGTCCGGACTGAGGCTGACACCACCATGCACTTCCCGGCCGATGCCTTCAACCTCTCCTGGCACTCAGGCTGCGACCCCAGGTGAGTGGCTGCCTGACTAATAATAATAATAATAATAATAATAATAATAATAATAATAATAATTTATTTGTACCCCACCCATCTGATTGGGTTGTCTCAGCCACACCGGATGGCTTCCAGCATGTATAAAAACATAGTAAAACATTAGATCTTAAAAAAGCTTCCCTATACAGGGCTGTCTTCAGATGTCTCATAAAAGACATGGGAGGGCATTCCACAGGATGGGCTTGGGCATCTGTCTGGTTTGGCAGCACCTCTCTCCCCATGGCAGCAGGGGGCGGTGGGGCCACCCGGGGCTCTTTCTCTGACCATGGAATTATAATATTGAAGGGTTGGAATGTGACGCACTATCCTTTGTCCAAAGATCACAGGGCAGTTTTCAGGATACAGTGGTGCCTCGCAAGACGAAATTAATTCGTTCCGCAAGTTTTTTCTTCTTGCGAGTTTTTCGTCTTGCGAAGCACGGTTTCCCATAGGAATGCATTGAAAATCAATTAATGCATTCCTAGGGAAACCGACTTCAGACCAGGTCCGGGGACAGTCTGTCCCCCGACCTCTTCTGAAGGCTGGGGGGGGGGACGAAGCGCTTTTCTTCCCACCCCCAGCATTTTAAAAAACCCCGGGACAGCGGAGGACTTCTCCGTTGTCCCGGGACGATTTAAAAGCCCCTGGGAAGGCAGGCAGGGGGGACAAAAGGCTTTGCTCTCCCCTGCCTGCCTTCCCAGGAGAGCGGAGAAACGCAGCGCGTTTCTCCGCTGTCCCCGACGGCTTTTGAAGGCAGGCGGGGGGGAGCAAAGAGACCTCTTCTGAAGGCGGGCGGGGGGCGAAACTCTTTGCTCCCCCCCGCCTGCCTTCAAAAGCCGTCGGGGACAGCGGAGAAACGCGCCGCCCGGGGCGATTTAAAACCCGCTGTCCCGGGTTTTTTTAAATGCTGCCGGGCGTCAGCGCTGCCGCCCGGCAGCATTTTAAAATCGCCCCGGACAGCGGAGAAGTCCCCTGCTGTCCCGGGGTTTTTAAAAAACATCTCCGCCCCCCCGCCAGGCTTCGGAGCAGCCTTCCGAAGCCTGGCGGCGGGAGGAGGTCCGAGGACAGTGGGGAAGAGGCGCTGCGCTTCCCCGCTGTCCCGGAGATTTCCCTATGGGCTTTCGTCTTGCGAAGGAAGCCCATAGGGAAATTCGTTTTGCGAAGCGCCTCCGCGACGGAAAACCCTTTCGTCTAGCGGGTTTTCCGTCTTGCGAGGTGTTCGTCTTGCGGGGCACCACTGTAAAGTTGTTGGCCACCAACTCCTGGTAGCCTCAGCCAGGATGGCCAGTGGTCAAGGGCGATGGTCCCTATGGCCACCTGTCATGGATGCTTGAGCTGAGATTCTTGCTTTGCAGGGGGGTGGATTGGATGACCCTCAGGAGTCCATTCCAACTCTACAATTCCATGATTCCATGACTTGTAGTCCAGAAACATCTGGAAAACTGATTCCCATCATCCTCAAATAGGCGGGGGCTGGTCCTTGTCTGGGAACAGAGAGCAGGAGGAGGAGGAGGGTGTGAGTTTGACTGCTCCTTACTAGTTGCACTACCCTGCTGCCACCTCCACACCCACCCACCGCCTGCTCATGGGTTGGGCTCTGGAGTTGCTGCTGGCTGACTGGCTTCTTCCCAGACCTATCCTGGGCCCTGTGGCACAATCATCCTTGCTCGGCCGTGGGACATGGCAGTGGCTTCGTGCAGAAGCTCTCCAGCCTGGCATTTCTTCCACCCCCCCCCCAATGCCTCAGATGCTTGTTTGGTTTGAGCTCATCTCCCTTCAGGAAGGGAGGCGGCTTGGGAGCCGTCCTGGCTGCTAGCAGGGAGGAGGTAATGGGTTGCAGGCCTCTTGTCTGAGTGAAGGGGGCAGGGCTGCCAACGCCCTCCAGCCTGGAGTGGGGAAGAGGGCTGGGTTTTGTCGTTTCTGAATTTTCTGACGTGCTGTCACGGCCTGCCCAAGACATTTTGCCAAAAAACCACACCCATGCTCAGGCATGGTATTGAGGACTCCTAGACTGCCGGTGTTGGGGGACTTCAACATCCATACCAAAACAGTTGGCCCTGCGGTCACTTGGGACTTCATAGTTGCCATGACGACCATGGGGCTGCCCCAACATGTCATTGGGCAGGAAGAGGGTGATCTGAAAGTGGGTGTCATTGACATCCATCCCATGTCATAGTTAGATCACTTCCTTTTTGAAATCTAGGCTTTCAGCACCTTCCCCCCTCTGCCCTTGGAAGCTGATGGATCCAATATATTTCCAGACAGCTCTGGTGAGAGAGTGGGTGGCACTGTGGTCTAAACCACTGAGCCTCTGGGGCTTGCCAATCAGAAGGTTGACGGTTCGAATCCCCGCGACGGGGTGAGCTCCTGTTGCTCGGTCCCTGCTCCTGCCAACCTAGCAGTTCAAAAGCACGTCAAAGTGCAAGTAGATAAATAGGTAGCGCTGCAGCGGGAAGGCAAACAGCATTTCCGTGCGCTCTGGTCTCCGTCATGGTGTCCCATTGTGCCAGAAGCAGTTTAGTCATGTTTGCGACATGACCCGGAAAGCTGTCTTCCTCGAAACACCAGCTTCTTTGGCCTGAAAGCGAGATGAGTGCTGCAACCCCATAGTTGCCTTTGACTGGACTTAACCATCCAGGGATCCTTTACCTTCTTTACCTATTAGACAGCTCTGGGGGACTTTCTGGCTGATATGACTGATGTTCCTATCAAAGCCCTGGCTGACTTGTGGAACATCTGGATGACTTTTGGCCCATTGACACAATCACCCCTGAGCACCTTCTCAGTTTGTTTCCTCCCTGGGTGACGGCTGGAACATGAGTGGAGGAAAACTCTAGTAGACTGCAGTTGAACACTGGTGAGGGCTTATCACAAAGCCTACCTACTGGCAGTGAAGGCAGCAAAGAAGGCATACTCTTCTGCTTCCAATGCATCCTCATTATGGTGTCTGGCAGAGCTTTTCTGGGTAGTATGGGGCCTCTTACAGTCTGACACAAAGGAGGTGATGGATCCAATAGTAATTCATTGTGATTTGGTTGCAAAGCATTGGATAAAACTGCTTACATCTGCCAGGATCTTGACACCACTGTTAACAGCAGATGAATCTCGAGGGGTGTCCAGAGCACAGTCTAGTCCTGTTGTGTTGGATGAGTTTCCGTTAGTAAGGCTCAAAGACATGGAGAAGGTGCTAGGATCAGTCAGGGCACTCACTTGCGCTCTGGACCCTTGCTCCTCCTGGCTGACAGAAACTAGCAGGGGAGGGACAGCTGGCTGGGCCAGGGAAGTGGTTAATACCGTCTTGTGAGAGGAGGAGGTGGTCCCTGCCCGCTTCAAGGAGGCAGTGGTGAAACCACTCAGCCAAGAAATCCTCCCTGGAGTTGAAAAAAACTAACTACTGGCTACTTTCCAGTCTCCCCTTCTGGGGCAAGGTTCTTGAGAGGGTGGTCACACACCAGATCTAGGTGCTTTTGGAGTAAACCAATTTTCTAGATTCATTTCAATAGAGGGTTTCAGTTGTGGTTTTTTGTTATGTATTTTGTGTTCCCATTTTGTGATTTTATGTTGTGAACCACCCTGTGATCTTCAAGTGAATAAATTTAATAATTAAATAAATGAAGCAGTATGCAAATAATCTTAGAAATGAATAAGAAAGGTTACTGGCAACAGGCACTTTTGTCTACAACCTCCTAATGAGGGATCCCCCCCCCTCTCCCCGCAGTGATCTTCCCTTGCCCTGGAACCCCCTCGCTCACCACTGCAGCACAGACAAGAGCAGCTCCCTTGGGAGCATGGAAAGCTTGGACCAGGGTGGCCAGACATACTACGAGGGCAGCCTCTCTCCCATTGACCAGACCATGTACCAGAACAAGCGGGACTCTGCCTACAGCTCCTTCTCGGCCAGCTCCAACGCCTCCGACTCTGCCCTGCGGCCCGAGGACGGCGGGGTCCCCGAAGGCCTCCCACCAGACCCCCGTTACCTGCAGACCAGTGGCGAAGCTGTGGCAGCGGTGAGCCTGCACACCTCGCCCAGCCGGCCTGCCCCCAGTGCCAGGGCAGCCCCCTGCCTTCAGGACAGTCACTTCCCCAGCTCTACCAGAGCTGTTGTGTCCACCCCTCCCCGGCCGCCAGTGAGGCAGGACAGCCTGCGAGCCTGTAACCTGCCCCCAACCAACACAGAAGGCCGTCGGAAGGACTCCCCTCATCTCAAGGCCCGCTGGACCTCGGACACGCTCCTTTCTGTACGAGGCAGGGACCCCGAGCTGGGCAAGGAGTCGCCCACAGAGCACTACTACTTGCTGAGTTCTCATGCTGACCAGCCCACCCCCATGGAGAAGGAAGCCCAGAGTACCAACTCCCTTCCGGGTGAGCAGAGCAGTGGGGAACATCCCTTGGGCAAGCCTCACACAGGCAGCCAGGACCCCTCTGTGACCAAGCCAGGCAGCCCCGAGGGTGCCTGCCAGCCCCACTGGAAGGCCTGCTGGGCTGGAGCACTGAGCCATCGTCACAGTGCCCCAGAACACCTGCTGGCGGCTCAGCTGCAGGCTCTGCACGTCTCCTGCCCCCAGGAGGGCTCTCACTGGACTGTGTCTCCGCTGCACGGGGAGCAAAGGAGCAACCCAGGTGCCCAGCAGAGTCAGGGCTCCCCCAGAAAGGCGCAAAGCCCCCGTTCTGAAAGCAGCTGCTGCCACATGGGGCCAGAGCGACCCAGGAGTGCCTCTGTCGAACTGGCATCCTCCCCGCATCTGCAGCCCACTGGAGATGCCAGCACAGGACTGAAGGAGGCACCCAGCATGGAGGTGGGGCAGGAGGAGGAAGGGAGCATCTTGGGCACCAGGAAGGGGGGCTTGTCTCAGCACCGCTCAGCCCATATGCGCCGGCGCAGCGACCGCTTTGCCACCAACTTGCGGAACGAGATCCAGTGGCGCAAAGCACAGCTGCAAAAGGCGAAGGGCTCCACTCCACTGTTGGAGGAGGGGGAGTCCAACCAGGAGGCAGGGGAGCCCCCCGGCAGCCCCCCTGTCCCTCCTTCCCTGCCCCACTCTCCTCCGCCTCCCATGCCCAAGGGCCGGCCTCCTGGCTTGACCCAGCATAGAGCGCTACTTCCCAGGCGCTGGGGCTCTGAGCTGAGTGTCTTTGCAGCAGACAGTGGTTTCCCCAGCCCCAGGAAGCCCCAGGGAGCTCCTCCACCTGGAGGAAGTCAAGGGGGCCGCTGGAGGTGGTCACCAGAGCGCAAGCTGCAGCCCCACCATCAGAGCCAGCAGGTGGCTGATTCTGGGAGCCCCTTGCCGCCCCCTGAGGACTCTGGCCTCCTGCCTTTTGCTGACCGGAGGAAGTTCTTTGAGGAGACAAGCAAGCCGCTGTCCTCTGGGGGCTTCAGCTGCCAGAACAACAGGCCAGCGGGGGTACCCCTCCCCAGGATGGTGGACCAGGACTCCTTCCAGCCAGCCAGCTCTGAGCGCAGGGACCAGCGCCGCCACTCTGTGGACCAGCCCTACAGGCTCCTGCAGCCCCCGCCACCCCACACCTACCAAGACTTCCTTCCAGAGGTGCCTGCCTTTTGCAAGCCATTGGCCCAGTGTGAGGAAGACTGTGATCACTGGCGCCCCCTTCCCTGCTCACGTGCTGCCCGGGAAGGCTGTGCTTGCTGCTATGGGGATCGGTGCCCCGCAGCTCATCACAGGAACATGCCGGCAGCATCTGGCCACTGGGCCCACCACTGCCACTCACACGCCTGGAACCGCTGCCGCGGCTGCTGCTGCTGCCCAGCCCAGCCCAAGTTCTTGGAGGAGGGGGGACCGTGGCATGCGAGGAAGACCTTTCTAGCGGTAAGAGGGTGTGGGCGTGGGAGGGGTCTGTTGCAGGACTGATTGCAGAATGATTTGGAAGGGTCTCTGAGGGTAATCTAGTCCAACCCTTGGGAAGGCAGGAATCTCCACTCAGGCATCCATAGCAGATGGCCTTCCAATCTCTCCTTAAAGATCTCCCAAGGGAATCTGTTCCACTATGAAAGGGCTCTTTCTGGCAGAAAGTTCTTCCTGGAGTTTAGTTGCAATCTCCTTTCTTGTAACTTAAAGCCATAGGCTAGTGCCCTCTCCTCGAGCAGGAGAAGATAAGATATAGATACCTCCTCTTTTCCAAGCTAAACATCCCCAGCTCCTTCAAAGGCTCCTCATCAGGCTTGGTTTCCAGACCCTTGACCATCTTGGCTGCCCTTCTCTGCACATTCTCCAGCTAGTCAATATCCTTAAATTGTGGCACCCAGAACTGGACATGGGTCTCTAGGTGGTTTCCCTCCAAGGCAGAATAGAGTGGTACTTTTACCTTAACCCTAACCCTATGATTCTATATGTATGCTTTAGTTGAGATTCCTGCATTTGCAGGGGATTGGATTAGATGACCCTTGGGATCCCTTCCAACTCTATGATTTTATTATATGGACACTGTGCATGTGAAAAGGATATTGGGGTCTTAGAGGACCACAAACTTCATGTGAGTCAACAGTGTGGTGCAGCAGCAGCAGCAGCAGCAGCAAAAAATAAAATCAAATAAAAATAAAATAAAAGCTAATGCTAGTCTGGGCTGCATCAACAGAGGTCTCATATCAAGGTGAAGGGCAGTCATAGGACTACTCCCTTGGTCAGCCATTCCAAGGAGAGTCTTCATCATTTCCTGGTGGATTCCAGACCTCCCCAAGGGCTGGCTCAAGACATTTTGGCACCCGAGGCAGACCCGAGATTTGGGCCTACCTCTGTTTCAGGGAAGAAGAGAGGGAAGATTGACATCAGGGGGGAAAGTGTGGGGCGAGAAAGTTTGGCTTTGGGATCTGTTGCTCCTGACGATACTGCAGTCCGAGGCAGTTGCCTCACCTTGCTTCATGGGTGGGCTGGCCCTTCGTGCCACCACCCTCAGCCTCTGTTCCTTTTTCCCCAGGACTTTTCCTTGGGTGAGTGGGAGCCTCCAGCACCCAGCAGGAAGACGATGAGCCCGTCCATGAGGTAGGCAGGAGGTGCCTGGGGTGGGCAAGGAACGCTAGATGTTGGTGCCCACAGATGGGTGGGGTGGGGTAGCAGGAGAAACGGCAACGTGGAACAGCATTTCCTGATTCACTTGATGTCCCCAGGTGTCTGTGAGGTGCTCCTGCTGGGGGCCCCTCCTCGCAAGATGCTAGGCCCTTCTCCGTCATCGGCACTCACCCCAAACTGCATGAGGCTCTGAGGCTGGCATAGGCCCACAGAGGGAACTCTTGTAGGCTGGAGCAACAGAAGAGCCATTCCTTCCCACCTCTGCTAAGTCCTGTGTGTTTGCTGCTGGGGCTGGACCCATTCCATCTTGCTCTAGGGAGAGGCGCCACTTCCTCAAGGCACCCTTGGCATTCATCACAACCAAGATCAATGAGGGCCTTTCTTTCAAGGCCCAGCACCACCCACCAGCAACCTCAGGAGGAATGGGAACTGAGCATTGAAACAACCAGAGCCAGGAATGTGGCACAGGAACCAGCTGGGGCAGGGTGGAGAGGGCAAACTGGCCCCAACCTTCCTTCTGACTGAAGGGGTTTGCCCCATGGCTGTAGCAACCCAGGAAGGTGGGAGAGAGCAACGCACCCTTGCTGGCCTTTTGGAAGCCCACTTCCTGTCAGAAGCCTCTTCCCGAGATGCTGAGGCAGAACTGGTGTTAACACAAGGGATGGGGTGTGTGTGTGTGGGGGGGGGGTTGTCTTCCCTAGTGCCATTCTGTGGTTCGCCTCAGGAGTCAGAATGCCTTGGCCTGGTTCTGTCTGCAGAGGCTGCTGCCACTCACTTCCAAGTGTCCTGATTTTCCAGGGACAGTCCTGGAATGATGGAAGCCATCCCAGTTTCTGATTTGATCTTGGAATGCCCTTATTTTCCCTTTTCCTTCCCTCCACATCTTGGAGAACAGTTAAAAGTGGTGTCTGTGTGTAGGGGTAAAAACGGAATCCTGTTTATCCTGAAAATAAAATTCCAGCACCAAATGAAGGAAATGGTGAAGCTGTCATACGAAGCCCTTCCTGTAGTTTTGAAGGAAAGTATCAACAATCCACTTCTTCAGCAGCCAGCCATTTCTCAAGAAAGGCATGGTGCATTCATTCCTTTATTGTGAAGAGAGCCTTTCCCTGTCTGCTCAGAAGTATATCCCATTGTATTCAATGTAGGTTCAGCGGGGAGGTTGTAATTTGGCTCAAGGTGACAGATGCAAACTTGCATATGACTTCTGTGGGAGATCAGACGACGGGGAAAAGATGGGGAATAGGATGTCCCTATTTTCGCCAGAGAAATGTTGGTGGGTATGCTGCAGGTTGCTCTTCTTTCACTCTCCTTGCAGTGAACTCGCACAACACAAGGTGGGCTTTGCGAGGGTCAGCCCCTTCTGGACCTGCTCAGAGGCCTCCGAGGCAGAATGGCACCCTTCCTGCCACGCTGGGCCCACTCACAGCCTCTCCTGGGACGGCAAGAGGCCTGGGCGAGCAGCAGAGAACCTGGCCTACAAAGAGGACCCTGCCACCCCTCACAGACACCCCCTGCGCGAAAGGGCCTACTCAGAGAGCCACCTCTGTGCAGAGCAGGCCGGTGCTTCTGGGAGGGAGAGACGAGAAGCCCCTCTGGCCAAGCTGGAGGAGGGGGCCCGGCTGGAGTCTCCCCGGGCAGCCAAGCAAAAGGGCCTGCCCCCTCCACGGCCCCCACCACCAAACTGGGAGAAATACCGCCCCGGCCGTGACTCCCACAGCCATCTGCTTCACCCCAAGGCTGGCCCACACCCTCAGCTGGAAGAAGCCTGTGCCCACGGCCAGAGCAGCAGTGAGGTGGCAAGGCAGCGGTCTCAGAGCCTGCCTCTGGAGCAGCTGCGGGGGGAGGCCGGCCAGCAGCTCAGCCCCAGGCCTCAGGAAGCCCCCCACTCCCCCTACCACTACAACAGTTCGCCACTCCGGACCCCAGAGTGGGCAGTGCCAGATGGGAGCAGCCAGAGTGGGACATCCAGGCAAGTAGTGCATTGCTTTCTGCCTCTTGGGCTCATAGGTTGTGGGCATGGGATGGGGGTGGTGGTCTGTACAGAGGGGCAGGGAAGTAGGGAAGGTGGTTTCAGGAGGGACTAGCTGGGCAGGAGAGAGCAGGATCAGTGCCCAGGCCTCTTCATACTGACGACTCAAAGGACAGGTGGAGGTTTCTACACAGAGGCTGGATGGCCTCCTGTCCTGGATGCTTTAGCTGAGATTCCTGCCTTGCAGGGGGTTGGACTAGATGGCCCTTGAGTCTGTGCCCCCTTTTAAGCTTAGCCTGAACCCCATCCAGCCTGTAGCAAGAGACTTTACAGTGAGTGGACTTGTTGGGACGGGGGCAGAAAGCAGCAAGAGGGTCAGACTGTGGTGCAGAAGAGGAGGACTCTCATGGCAAGTAACTTCATGTGGGCTAGTAGTGTGGAGTTGTTTTTCCAAAAGGGGGACCTGGTGGCAGGACTTGCCCAACTATGAGGTGGACTGAGACATCTGCCTCAGGTGGCAGCATCTCAAGGGGCAGCTGGAGAAGCAAGGGAATGTGGTGGGGGTCAGCTGCTGATGAGATCTTGTGAAGTTTTGCCACTGCTGCCACTTCTTCTCACATCTCTGAAGCTGCTGTGGGTGACACTCGACCTGACCGCTGCTGGAGAAGTGGTATGTGTGAGATCTCGCAAGAAGTTGCTTCTTCTCCTCACTTCTCCCGTGGCGGGAGGGTGCCCCACCAAAGAAGCAAGAAGAGGCACCAGCTGTGTCTGTGTTCAGGTGAGATTTTGTGGACCTCTCCCAAAATCTTGCCTGAACCCAGAAGCTGTGAGCAGGGAAGGGTGGACCCAGATGTTGCCAGGCTCCAACTCTTATCATCTTGCCATCTTATCAGGAGGTCCAGTTCCACACAATATAGGGATCGGGGCTGTGGGTGCGGGAATTGGCAGGTGGATGGCTGGTGGTTAAGGGCAATAAGTTTAAAAAGAACAAAAAACTATTGTAGTATAAGGTTAATGGTAAGGAATGGAATGTGAATTAGAAATAATCAGGGAAATAATGCAGCAACAAGGAGGACCTTGGACACATCATGAACGGAGTGCAGGAAACCAATTTTCTGAAAATTTGTATTAAATTTGTTTTCATGTGGCTGATTTGGTAAAAATTTGGAAAATCAACAAAAATGACTTAGGGGCATATCTCCTTTGGCATTCCCTCCCCTTAAATATGAGACAGGTGCCATCCCTGAGGTCTTCCCAGCACCCGGGACTTTCCTATTCCAAAAAGCCTCTGCACTGGAATTACTTTAAGGTGTTTTATTGCTTGCTGCCCTGTGCTCCTTCAGTAGCCTCAGCTTTTGTAGCTGGAGTCAGTCCGCGGCCTTCCTTCCCAGGCCAGGAAGAAAAAGGTAGAAAAACCACTGAGCTTGAAGCCATTTAACCTGTCTTTAACCGAGTGTCTGGTGGGTTTTGTGCTTAAAGGCCTGCATGTTCCCCGGAGAAAGCAGCAACACCCAGGCCCCTGTGGGAAAAGGGGAAGGATGGATCAGCCAGCAGGACCCCTGAGCCGGTGTCAGCCAGCCCCTCCTGCCTTGGTGAGTTCTGCTTCCCCTCTGCAGGTATCCCCGCCTCTTGTCTCTCCAGCAATGCTGCCGTCTGAAAGGGCTTCTCTGTCTGTCTCTCTCTTCCCCCTTCACAGCCTCCAAGGAGCTAGAGGGGGTTGAAGGAGATGCCTGCTGCCCAGGTACAGTGGGTTCAGTGCACCCCTTCCGCCTGAACTCGGAAGAGCTGATGAGGGACGTGGCAGGCAGGGACCACTCCCTGGCTGGAGTGCTCAGCCCCACCCTGGGTCTGGTGACGGCAGCGGAAATGATGGGGGGCCTCTTCTCCCCCAGTGAGGGTGCTGTGTGGCCCCCTCAGGCTGGTGCCGTGGGACTCTCAGCCAGGTAGGCATACCAGCTGCAATGGCATCCCCAAAAACTCTTTGTATGTAGGGCAGCAAGATCTGGGGGCCGGGGGGGGGCTATGTGGGCCCTTGGCACAGAGTATCCTTCCCCTGCCAGGAGCCCTCCTGGGCCCACCAGCCTCATCCAGCATAGAATGGTAGAGTTGGAAGGGACCACGAGGGTCATCTAGTCCAACCTAGTCCAATGAGGAATCTTTTGCCCAAAGTGGGGATCGAACCCACGTCCCTGAGATTAAGACCATCTGAGCCGTGGTCAGGAGGGGGTAATGGGAACTGAAGTCCATGAACATCTGGAGGACAACCAGGTGGGGGAAGGATGGCTCTGAGCCTTGAGGAAGGACCAGGGTGTGGGGGACCCACATTCAGACCCCCACTAAGTCGTGCAGCTCCCTTTTTCTCAGTCTGTCCCACCTCACAGGGTTGCCGTGAGGATCAGTTGTGGGAGGGGAAGAAAGTAGCGCAAACCACCATCCAAGGGTAGGATACTAATGTATAGGAAGAGCCTCAGCCTCTGGGTGGGTGTGAGCCTGGGGTCTCCCTGGAGGTGCCCCTCCTGCTGATGCCCCTCTTGGGACACCTCATTGCTGCCTGTGACTCCCACTTATCCCCCACCCCCACCACAGTTGCTGTTTTATTGTAAATATATTGAGAATTCATATAGTAGGATTTGTAGAGTTTGAAGGGGCTTACAATGATACATTGCATATGTATCATTTACAATGATATCAATGCATGATAGAACAAGGGCTTAAGGGCAGCTTATTTTTTATACTGCTGTCAGCCAATAGCTGCATTACTTATAAGATGGTTCTAATTCGTCACCATGACTTTGCTTGTATGTCATTCACACACAATGCTCAAAGTGATTTAACAAGAAGGGAACAGCAATTCAGCAGTAGTTCAGAAGTGGAAACGAAAAGTACACCTGTTGACTACCTGAAAATCTTTAGCCTACCCATTATAAGCATTTATTTAAGTTACAAAATAGTTAAAGAGACCAAACTCTCTCTCTTACACACATGCATGCATGGAGATGAGCAGTACTGCCAGTACCATCCAGACTTCCTTTTGTGCCGTGTTTCTAAGTACAAGTTTGCACGCTAAAGCACCATGTCTGAGCCTTTCTGCCCCGGGCTTTTCCCACAAAAGCCCCCTCTTTCCCACTGAATTGAAGCAAATGGCAATTCACAGAAAACCCAAATGGCTGTTTGTTCTGATTTGGCATTATAGAGCCAAAGTTGCCCAGCACTTTCTCATGGAAAGTGCCGGGCAAAAGGTAAGTGTGGATGAGCCCTAAGGCCTCATAACGTCTTCCAAAGCTGGAAATTATGCATTGGACAAAGGGCTACCATTGCAGTCCCCTGTTTAGAACCCCAAAGGGCTCCAAAAGCATTCTGCTGACCTCCCTCTTCTGTCTTCTTCCCCTGAAAGGTGTTCACTTTTGCAGGTTTTCATGCTCCCCACTTCAACGTGGCATATCCTGCCCTTCCAGTATTTTTCATGTGTAGTGTCTTGCCATCAGTTTTCTGTATACATTGATGCATAATCTTATCTGTATGCCACCTCTCCATAGTCCAAACCACGCTCAAGGCAGCTCACATTAAAAAACACATAACTACAACATGACATAAGCAATAAATCAGGGGTCGGCAACCTAAGGCCCATGGGCCGGTAGCGGCCCACGAGGCTTGTCTAACCAGCCCATGGCGACCCCTGCCGCCACCCCCCCTTGCTGCCTGCTATTACTGGTGCGGCGCAGCGTGGCACAGGGATTGCCTTCCGGGTTGATGGTGCCTGTGTGCAGGCACACGGGTGCTCCTCCGACCTGAATGTGTGCCGGAAATAGTGTGTGCACCCGTGGGTGGGATGGAGAAGTGCCCATGTGCATGCACACATGCTATTTCCGGTGCACTTCTGGGTCAGAAGAGCGCCGGAAATAGCATGTGCACACGTGCACAGGTGCTCCTCCGACCTGGAAGAGCAAGCATGTGCACACATTCTGGTCCATCCTCCGATGGATGGAGCATCGACCTGCCCATCCTTCGATAAGGTTGCCGACCTCTGCAATAAATGAAACACCAAAAAATGGTTGTGTATTGTGTAATGATTGAACACCATCCACATATATCAGAACAAGCTCTAAAATAAAAACACAGGAAATTAGTATCAACCACAGCAACAACACACCCCAACAAAACTCCCAAACATTACCTCAGCCCAGTAGTCTTTTCGGCAGCCTCAGCTTTTGTAGCTGGAGTCAGTCTAGACACCACCTTTCCAGGCCAGGTGGGAAAGACCTGCAAGGCAGGAGCAGGATTTCCAAGACTCACAGCCAAGATGGTCACGTGAAGGCAGACAGTGTTGACTTGGCCTCCTCTCCATTTTGGAGCCATCCCTCCCACAATGCTCTTTGTTGGTATAGGCAACCCAGCCAACCTGTCTCCCCAACCTGTGGAGGAGCTGCCAGCCCCACCTCCTCCTGCTCTGCCTACTATAACCTGTCAGCCGGCAAGGCTGAGCTACTGAACAAGATGAAGGAGTTGCCTGAGGGGGCTGGAGCCAGTTCGGAGGAGGAAGAGGTGGACCATGACTTGGCCAGGAAGAAGGTGAGCAGGTGGGAGGTGGGCTTTTCCACTTCAGTTTCCAGGCCCTGCACAGCTGCTTGGGGATTAGTGGGCAGACTTGTCCAGCTCTTTGAGTCAAACTTAGCCCCAGTGAGTGGCTCCTGTATTTTGGGGGGTGGGGTGGGGGCTGGAAAAGTCGCGTTGGGAACTTGGACCATCACTGTTCATCATTAGAACAGTGTGTGCTTGCTGCGAAACAATTGCAGTTCTGCACAAACAGAGCCCAAGCCCTGTGCTGTCCAAAGCTGAACCCTGCAAATGGATAGAATTCACTGGTATAATCTGCTTGTAGCAGTTGCTACCGGTCATGATGGCTCTCTGGCACCTCCACGTCCCCGAGCAGTGTGCCTCTGAGGGAACCCCCAGTTGCTGGGAATCACAGATGGGGAGAGTGCTACTGCTAGGCTGGTGATCTTCTTTTGGGCTTCCCCCATTCATTGGGTACTGGTTGGCCAGGATGCTGGGCTACATGGGTCCACTTTGGCCTGATTCTGCTGCAGCCAGTCTCTTCCCTTGGCACTTGTCCCCCCTAACTAACCCCTCACCCCAACTGCAATCTCTCCTGCCTCCAGGTGCAGCTGATTGAGAGCATCAGTCGGAAGCTGGGGGTGCTGCAGGAGGCTCAGCGGGGCTTGCATGATGACATGAATGCCAACATGGTGCTGGGCAGAGAGGTGGAGAACCATGTCAAGGGGGTCTGCAAGCCCCATGAATACGAGAAGTTCCGCCTCTTCATCGGAGACCTGGAGAAGGTGGTCAACCTCCTGTTGTCCCTCTCAGGGCGGCTGGCAAGGGTGGAGAATGCCCTCAGCAGCCTGGACTTGGATGCCACTACAGAAGAGGAGAAGGTACAGGGCAGGTGGGGTGGGCGACCTCTGGAAATGCAGCTCTGAAAGGCCCCTCTCTCCTGTTTGGGAGCTCCTTGTCCCCTCCTCTTCATCCCCACCTCTATTTTGCCTTAGACCACATCTGGAGTCCAATTCTGGGCACCACAGTTTAAGAAGGATATTGACATGCTGGAACATGTGCAGAGGGTGGCAACCAAGGTGATCAAGGGTCTGGAAACCAAGCCTGATGGGGAACAGCAGAGGAAGTTGAGCATGGATAAAATGAGAGTGAGAGAGTTGAGAGGAGATATCCTGTCCCATGGAAGATGGAGATATCCTGTCCCTGGAGGGCAGGACCCGATCCCGTTGTAGGAAAGTAGATTCTGACTAAACACCAGGAAGACCTTTCTGATAGTATGAGATGTTAAAAACCTCCAAGGATGGAAAGTTTACCACTTCCTGAGGGAGTCTGTTCCACTGTTGAACAGCTCTTACTGTCAGAAAGTTCTTCCAGATGTTTAGTCAGAATCTCCTTTCTTGTAACTTCTTGAAGCCAGTGTTTTGGGTCCTCCCCTCTAGAGCAGGAGGAAGCAACCTCACTCCACCCTCCACGTGACAGCCCTTTAGATATATGAAAAGTGCTATCATATCTCCTCTCAGTTTTCCAGGCTAAACATACTGAACTCCCTCAGCTGCTCCTTATAAGGCTCAGTTTCCAGACCCTGTATCATCTTGGTCGCCTTCCTCAGCACCCGGTCCGGCTTGTCAACATCCTTCTTAAATTGTGGCACCCAGAATTAGACACAGGATTCCAGGTGTGGTCTGGCCAAGGCAGGATAGAGTGGGACCATGACTTCCTTTGATCTGGACACAAGACTTCTGTTGAGGCAGCCTAGAAGAGCGTTAGCTGTTTTTGCTGCTGCACTACACTGTTGAGGGTGGGCATGTGTGCCTGGGTGTCCTGTGCCTGCTTCCTGGTCTTCCTGCTCTGGGTTTTGACAGCTCCCTCTCTTCTCCCTTCCCCAAATCAAGCTGGCCCTCCTGGAGAAGAAGCGGCAGCTGATGGCGCAGCTGGAGGATGCCAAGGAGCTGCAGGACCATGTCTCCCGTCGGGAGCGCTTGGTCTTCACCAGCGTCTCACGCTGCCTGCCTGCTGAGCAGCTGCAGGACTACCAGCACTTTGTGCGCATGAAGTCAGCACTCATCATTCAGCAGCGGCAGCTGGAGGACAAGATCAAACTGGGTGAGGAGCAGCTGCGCTGCCTGCGGGAGAGCCTGCGCAGGGGGCCCAGGGAGTACTAACCAAAGCCAGCTGGGCTTTCCTGCATCGCAGGGGCTGGGCTACATGACCCTCAGGGTCCTCTCCAACCGTACCAATTCATATTCAGCTGGTGCCTCCCTTAGGGGACTGCAGGCTAGCTTTGTGCTCACAGTGCCTTCTTGCTCTCAGGAAAATTATAATCATTGCCAAAGATTGCTATGCCAGATCACTGCATCCTCACCCCTCCTCTTCCATGGCTGGGGTTGGAGGCTCAACCAAAGTGTGCTTTGCTGGGAAGACAATGACACCAGCTGCTCAGGAAGGTGAGGGAGGGATTCCTGGAGCTCCACTGGGATGAGGACTCCCAGGGAGGCAGCCTGAGTGCCTTGGATAACTTTCCATCTTCTCCCCTCTGGAGCCACCAACCCCCCAGCCAAGGAAGCTCCCCTAAATAGCAGCATAATCCTCTGGCGCCCACCGCTTATTCCAAGGCCTGGCTTGCCTTTCCTGCCTCCTGCTGCACAATTAATTAATTTATTCCTATCTTAGCTTTCCTTCACCGAGATAATTGTGAGGGGTGGGGGTGGGGGTGGGGTGACTGGGATGGGCCAACACAAATCTCAGCCACATCCCTTGAGGGCGACATGTCCTGCAGCTCTCATTGGTATGTTAAGCTTAGGATGTGTTGTGGTGGCTTCAGAGGAGTCTGTGCCCCTTCCCCTGCCCTCTGGAAGTGGCTTCTCTGCAAGGGTGGGGTTTTTTGTGGGAGGGAGGCTTCAAGCACAGAAACAGCACCCCGACATGCTTTCCAGTTCCTTTTGTTCCAGTTGCCTCCTTCCTCTCCTTCCCCTCCCAGCACCTCAATCTAAAGTTTCTCTTGCCAAGTTTAAGGGCAGGAAAAAATTCCTCATCTTTCCCCATATCAAGATCTCTTGCTGGGGAGTTGCGGTTTCAAGTTGTTTTGAGCTCTGCTCATTTCCTGCACAATCGTGGGGGGGGGGGGTGAGCTGAGGACCTGTTTGCAGATCCTCCTCCTCCTCCTCCCTCTCTCTGGGTCCCTCATGGCCTGGGGAGCTGCAGCAAGCCCCTTGCACATTGCAGATTGGCTGCTGCTTCCTTGATCTGGCACCGAACCCTCCCAGCTCTACCCAGAGGCAATCGGAGGAACCAGTGAGGGTATTGAGGGTCCTGTGTGAGTGTCTGGAGGCAGTTGGAGGACGGATGGCGGCTAACAAATTGAGGTTGAATCCTGACAAGACAGAAGTACTGTTTTGGGAGGATGGGGGGACATGTGGGGGACTCCTTGTTCCTGTACAGGGTAACTGTGCCCCCAAATGACCAGGTGCGCAGCCCAGGAGTCATTTTGGACTCACAGCTGTCCATGGAGGTGCAGGTCAATTCTGTGTCAAAGCAGCTGTTTACCAGCACCATCTGGTACGCAGGCTGAGACCCTTCCTGCCCGCAGACTGTTTCACCAGAGTGGTGCATGCTCTGGTTATCTCCTGCTTGGACTACTGCAATGCGCTCTGCGTGGGGCTACCTTTGAAGGTGACTTGGAAACTACAACTAATCCAGAATGCGGCAGCCAGACTGGTGACTGGGAGCAGCTGCTGGAGCCATATAACACCGGTCCTATGGGATCTTCACTGGCTCCCAGTGTGTTTCCAAGCACAATTCAAAGTGTTGGTTCCACAGTGAGGGAACCTTTAAAGCCCTAAACAGCCTCAGCCATGTTTACCTGAAGGAGCGTCTCCACCCCGGACACCGGGGTCCCTCTCCCGAGGGCCTTCTGGTGCTTCCATCACTGCGAGAAGCGAAGTTACAGGGAACCAGGCAGAGGGCCTTCTTGGTAGTAGCACCCTCCCTGTGGAACACCTTCCCATCAGATGTCAAGGAGATAAAGAACTACAAAACTTTTAGAAAACATCTGAAGGCAGCCCTGTATTGGGAAGTTTTTGATGTTTGATATTTTACTGTCTTTTAAATATTTTGTTGGGAGCTGCCCAGAGTGGCTGGGGCAACCCAGTCAGGTTAGTGGCATATAAATAATGAAATTATTGCATTATTATTGAAAAGGGCTTCCCCCAATACAGCCAGCCTCTGCCCCCCCACCATGTGCTGATGGGCCCCCCTGCTCCCTGCCTGTGTAAAAGGCAGAGCTGGCTCACCCATGAGGCAAGGTGAGGTGACCACCTCAGGCAGCAGGATCCACAGGAGCAGAAGATCCCAATGTTGATCTTCCTCCCCCCTTGTTCCTAATGTAGATATCTTAGCTTCCTGATAGTTGTATGTTGCTTTAAATGTATACTTTATATTTGACTTTCTTCTGTAATGTTTTATTTGATGTTTTAATTTAGGTTGTAAACTGCTTTGAGTCCCCCCCCCCCAAATATATATATAAAGATATGAACGTATTGTTGTTGTGTGTTGTTCCTGATGTAGATCTTCTCTCACCTCCTCTGCCCTGGTGGGGAGGGAGGACGCCATTTGGGGGTCGGCCTCAGGTGCCAAAATGTCTTGGGCTCAGCGCCAGCAGCAAGACATGTGTCCTGAGAAGGTGCAGCCTTTATTTGCACAAGTCCTTGCTGGAGGGGGTGGTGGCTGCTGTGGCTCCTTTCTTCAGAGACCCTCGTCGGGAAGACAGTCAAGCCATCTGGGTTGGGGAATCCTAATGCAGCTGCCAGCCAAGCGGGCCTGATCTCCGTACTCTTGGGCAAAGTGCCTTCACTATATGTAGACACAAAGCGAGGGGGCCACCCATGTTCTATTGGGCTCGTATCCCATTTGCCAGTCTCTTCCTGCCTCCTCTGCTGCCACATCCATGCCTTCTGCTTGCAAATCAGGCCTTTGTGAGGTGCCTGCCCCCTGAATTCTCCATCTTCATGCCCCTCAGACATCTTGTAGACTGGAGCTGGCATTTCCCAGAGAGGATCGACCCACCCATGAGGCAAAGTGAAGCCACTGCCTCAGGCAGCAGGGTCCACAGAGGCAGCAGTTCCCAATGTCAATCTCTCATTGTTCCTGATCTTCCCTCATCCTTTCTTCCCTGCCTGGGTTTGCATGTGCCATCTTGGGGTCCACCTCAGGTGCCAAAATACCTTGTTTCCCAGCAAGGAAACTCCTTTTTGGGTGAGGACTCCTATGGGCACTACTGCCTGGAGCTGGAGGAGAGTGTTACAGCATCTTTCTCCTCCCACCCACTCAACCCAAAAGACATATTTACCAGAGGAATGTGCTGGGCTCCTGCCACAGATATTCCTGCCCCTGACGATATCCTCTTCCTCTCCATTGTGTCTGGAACAATGTTGGGATGTCTGAGCTTCACAGTTTAACCTCTTCAGTGCCTTGAGCCACTCGTTAAGAACTTGAAAACCAAAGTGGAGCCAGCAGCCCATTGAGTCCAGCCTCCTGTTCTCACAGTGGCCAACCAGGTGCTTGTGGGAAACCAGGGAGCAGAACATGAGCACAAGAGCATCTTTCCTGGGGAAGGAATGGGAACTGGGGCAATAGGTGGGTGAATTTCAGCTGGCACCACTGGTTACTTCTTGCCATGGCTGCTGTAAGAGGTCTGGATTTGCTGATCCCAGATGGGGAAGACGCTCCTCTCTGCTCCCAGACAGACACATCCTAGTGAGACCTCCTCCATCCTCCCACCCCTTTGCTTTGGGGCTGCACTCTTAGCCTGGCCATTTTTGGGCAGCACTGTGGGAAGCAAAAGCAAGTCACAGTGGCAAAGAGCTGCTCCTCTGCTGTTGATCTGTGCGACAGACAGCCCAGGCTTCCATCCAGCAGTCCATGAAATCCTCCCCTTTTAAACCAGAGAGCATCTCTCCAGCCAGCGAGGCTGAGGGTACATGATGTAATGCAGCGGCTGTGGGGGATTTTTTTAACCTCTGCTTTACACCATCTCTACACTTAACCTGCCAAGGAGATGAGGGTCTTTGCTAGGGCCAGCCCATCCATGGGACAAGGTGAGGCAGCCACCTCGGGTAACAGGATCCACAGGGGCAGCAAATTTCCCTTTGTACCCAAGTATAGATCTTCCCCCACCCCTTCTTCCTTGGCAGGGAGAGGGATGCCATTTTGGGATCTGCCTCAGGTGCCAAAATGTCTTGGGCTGGTCCGGGCTTTGCTTCCACCATTGGAGGCAGCAGCGCTTCTGAATGCCGGTTGCTGGAAACCGTAGGAGGGGGGAAAGTGTTCTTGTGTTCAGGTCCGGCTTTTGGGAACCCCTTTTGGCTGGTCACTGTGAGAACAGGATGATAGACTAAGTGCCCACTGGCCTGATCCACCAGGATTTTCTTGCAATCTTATGTTTATGTTCTTAAGACTGTTACCTGAAGGGGTGTCATGCTGAAGAAGGCACCGACTTGTTCTCTGTTGCTCTGGAGGCAGGACTAGAAAGTGATGGGTGAAAATGGAAAGGAGTCAGATTGCAGTCACCGTATTTTTCACTCCATAAGACACACTTTTCCCCTCCTAAAAAGTAAAGGGAAATGTGTGTGCGTCTTATGGAGCGAATGCAGGCTGCACAGCTTTTGCTGAAGCCAGGAGAACAAGAGGGATCAGTGCGCACCAATCCCTCTTGCTCTCCTAGCTTCAGGGATAGCCGCCCAAAGCCTCCTGAGCGGGAGCACTCCCACTGTGCTCAGGACGCTTCGTGTTGGTCTTTCAAGACTGGTGTTATGTGGTCTCAGCAGCCTCTCCCAGTCACCAGTCTAGCTGCCACAATCTGGATTAGTTGTAGTTTCCGGGTCACCTTCAAAGGTAGTCCCACAGATATTGTAAAGCCTATTCCAATGGGAAGGGATTCACCATAAAGGAGACCCAGCATAGAGCACAATTGCAGTCAATTCACCTCAGATGTTCCACGTGAACTTGGGGCATAGAACAACTGCCCTTTCGAGAGCTGTAACTGAGAGACCCTCTTAAAGGCTCCAGTGTGGAAACGGCTAGCTATTTTTAAAAAGTTGGTTTTCTCACACCTCAAAAAGCAAATGTGCAGAAAAGGACTGTTAAAATTGCCAAAGGGTTGGAAGTTCCTGTGAAGTGTGTGGCTGCACTGCGCACGTGGCACTTTTCGATTGACAGCAACCGCAGGAAAACAAGGCTGGAGAAGACTAGTCAGGGGTCAGGGAAGCAGCCTGTGAAGGGTTTGCTTGCAGGATGAGCAGATCAGGGATGAGAAGGCGCTTGCCCTTCAGCCATCCAAACTATGCTTCAAAAACTTCCAAGGAAGGAGAGTCCACAACCTCCTGAAGGAGTCATTCCACTGTCAAACAGCTCTTAACACTCAGAAAATTATTTCTGAAGTTCCGTTGAATTCTCCATTCTTGTAACTTGAAGCCATTGGTTTGAGTTCTTGCAGTCTCTTTTCCAGGCTAAACATAACTAGCTCACTCACTCACTCAATCATTCTTCTTAGTTTCCAGAACCTTAATCATCCTGGTTGCCTTCCTCTGCACACTTTCCAGCTTGTCAACATCCTTCTTAAATTGTGGCACCCAGAACTGGACACAGGACTCCAGGTGGGGTCTGACCAGGCAGAAGAGAGCGGGACTACCCCTTCCCTTGATCTGGACTCTAGACTTGCCCTCAAAAAGTTCTTCCTGGTGTCAGAATCATGGGCAGAGGAATAGTGGAATAGTGAAGAAAGACTGCACAAATTCAGTTTTTGCTTTGTCTTCCTTTTGCTGGTTGGATGCAGCTATTTGAGGAAGAAACCATGAAGGAGATGGTTAGAAATGTTCCCATAGGAAATAATGAAAATTGTCAACTCGTTATGCGACCACTTGCTTAATAAACCATTTCCCAAGACTGCATTGTGTTTGGAAAGTGGGAACTGCACATACAAAAGCTATTAATCTTGGGAAATTCTTTGCTGTTTGAAGAGTTCTTTACACAGTGCCAGGATTTCCCCAGTTCTTAAATCTCAAATCCTAATATGTGTTCAGATTCACAGAATTTCATAAGCTTCTTAGTGGTGGTTTATTCTTGTAATTCTCTCCTGAATAAGATGACAGACACAGTTCCCTTTTCAAAACGACGTTTTTCTCCAAGCACATTGTGAGAATATGCTGCTGTTACCAAACAGTAAAGAAGAGAAATGGGTCCTGCACAAACATAATTCATCTTAAACTTCACCTTTCCTCAGGTTATTCCCTCGTCACTTGAAAGACTTCAACCACTTCCCTAAACTCCTTGCTTTGCTCCTGGAGATGAATTAGTTTCCAAGTTTTCTTTGGAGGTCCACCAGGTCCTATTTGGGCTACCAGCCTAGGACTACAAAAGCATCAAGGATCAATGCAATAAGCTATGCCTATAGAGCTTGCCTAGTGAACTGGGGCAGTAGTCCCCATTAGAGCAGGACATCTCTACTCTCCCCGCCCCATAAATACTAAACATGGGCTCCACTAGAACTGAACAGAAGCTCTGAAATCTCCTTTCCCAATTGCATGGGGATGAGAGTGTGGTAAGAGTGCCGCCTCTCCCACAATTCCAGGGTGGACCCCAGCAGGGCCCATGTCTCCAGCATCCTAGAGCCACTCAGTCAGCATGGAAAGCGAGCTTTAAGCCCACTTTAAGAAGCCTTATCACCTTTTGTGCTGGTTCAGAGTGAAAGCAGGTGAGTCAGCCACTGAGGATGGGCTCCTAGGGTCACTCTGGAGAAGAAGGGAAGAGTTGGGAACTCTGAAAGCACATGCAGTCCATCCCTATGGGAGTTTTAGAATATAATTAAAATGATATGAGGACAACTCTAGTAAGAAAGAGCAAACCACTATGAAAATCATTTCCTTTAGAAACAGCCAGTTCCATAAAGCATGCTGTTTTAAAAAAACAGTCTCCACCTGCTGGCAGTAAGACAATAAGGAGGAAGACAATCCATGCCATGTTTTACTTTTAAATGGAAGAAGTATGCGATTCTGCTAAGAAATGTCCTGACCAGGACCACTGGGAAGAAAAGGCTCTGGTGGCCAGAGATTTTGTTTCAATCAAATATATTTATTTATGTATAAAAAGGTAAAAAGGTATGTATGTCTACACCATTCCAGATAAACAAACCCCCTCAAAGCCTTCTTTAAAATACCCCTTCCCTGACCCCCACAGGCAGCTGTGTCTTGAGAGGCTTCCAAGGGGATGGGGAGGCAGCGCATGGCTTGACAGCAACTGCTAACGGATCACACTGAGTTGATGATGTTCCAGCCAGGAGCACCTTCATAGCCACTTAGGTGGGGGTGCTAAAAGCCATTCCCTGTGAAATAAAATCATCACACACACACACATGCTCGCTATACACAATTTGGGCAGCAACCCATCTCCCTCCACCTTTTGGTGCTGAAGAGGTTCTGCAGCCCAGAAATAATAATAGTGGTAGCAGTGGTAATAATTATCATTACGTTTTATATTCCACCCACCTGGCAGGGTTACCCAGCCAATCTGGGCAGGTTCCAAAACATAACATAATAAAATGTCAAACACTATTAATTGTTCCTATTAATAACAGTAATAATATGATAAAATAAAAGTCATAAAAACTTGAAAATAAACAATTTATATCAAACAAAGCAAAATTCAACAATGGTTCTGAATCTAGTAGCAAACAGTAAAGTTAAAACATTAGCAAAAATTTAACAGTTCACACTTATCAACCACAATAAAGAATTACAATCAATAAAAATAACAGCAAATCACAATGCATAAAATACCACAAAACATACAAAACCATGTAAAAGGATTAAATTGAGAAACAAATATACACAACTGAAAAAAGGATTTTTAAGAAGATCTCCTGCTAGTGGCCAAATTCTCCCCACCCGACAGCAGTGTCTAAGCAAGGGAGTTCAATCGTGGTGCAGAAAAGAAGTGAAAAGTACACAGCCACTGGGGAGGGGGATTTCTACAAGCCCCTCCCCATGAATTAAAAGCACCCCCCCAGAAGTTCTCCTGCTTTTGGGGTGGGGTGGGGTCTAAGCAAGGGAGTTCAATCGTGGTGCAGAAAAGAAGTGAAAAGTACAAATAGCTGAAGAAGTTGGGGCTTGTTCGGGGGGGGGGAGACGACTTTGAGGAATCCTGTGAAAAAACCTACAAATTTTCTCTAAAAACAACAAAACAAAGCTACCATCGCCATAGCAGATGTTTTGACTGACTGTAAAAGTGTATGGTCTTGAAAATGACCAAAGACTTTCTGGGTGATGTAGAGGCGCTGAAATGAGAGGCAGAATACACCTTGACTGCAGGGAGCCCCTTCCCTGCTGAACACACTTTGTGCAGCCACTTGTCTCCTCTTGCTTTTGGTGCTGAGGAGGCTTTCCAGCCCAGAATATGCACCCAATCGGCAACATGATTTGCTTCAGGAAGGGATGAAGATGCATCACACGTCCTTCTTCGCAAATGGTTCATGAAGTCCAGAAAACTGGTTGCAGCCTCCAGTTGTGGCTCCATGGAAGCGATGATGCTTCTGTCCCCCCCCCCCCCCCCCGTGGAAGGATGTGTGTGGATCCAGAATTGGCCTCCACTGTCAAAATGTGTTTAAGGAAGAGAATCTTACTTGGCTACAAGGGATCACTGAAGAAGAAGAAGAAGAAGAAGAAGAAGAAGAAGAAGAAGAAGAAGAAGAAGAAGAAGAAGAAGAAGAAGAAGAAGGAGAAAAGTTGTTTTCTGCTGCTCCAGAGAAGCGGACACGGAGCAATGGATCCAAACTACAAGAAAGGAGATTCCACCTAAACATTAGGAAGAACTTCCTGACAGTAAGAGCTGTTCGACAGTGGAATTTGCTGCCAAGGAGTGTGGTGGAGTCTCCTTCTTTGGAGGTCTTTAAGCAGAGGCTTGACAACCATATGTCAGGAGTGCTCTGATGGTGTTTCCTGCTTGGCAGGGGGTTGGACTCGATGGCCCTTGGGGTCTATTCCAACTCTATGATTCTATGATTCTATAAGAAGAAGAAGCAGCTTCTCCAACATGAGGCAAAGGTTCTCTCTGGAGCAAAATCTGGCATTTCCAGTATGTGGCAATGTAGGGAAGGCAGGAGCATCACACAGAGGATCCTGGAGAGGGAAGGAAAGGAGGACAGTTTAGGGAGAATGGGAGACAGGACATCCACGTGAGGCTTCCACTTGGCCTTGTGAATCCACTTAGCAATTGCAAAACTTAGAGACATGTATGCGATATCTGTGCGCACCCTCCCCCAAAACAATCTTTTTGTCGTTGCTCTGCACCTGGGCCACTCGCCGAGACTAGTCTACCTCACAGGGCTGTGGTGACCATTAAGGGAGGAGGGAAAAACATGTATGCTATCCAGAGCTCCGTTGAGAATATAGGTGCAACTAATAAACCATAAATAAAGCTTCTGTGGTGAAGCTGCCCTCTGAACTTGGTTTTCCCAGGTGCAAAGCCAGGAAGGGACCCTTCGCACCCAGGCATCCCTGACAGTGCACAGGTGTGCATCACATGCAGCATTTCATAGATGTGTGCAACAAGCTGGGTCAGGCATAAAGGTCACGTCAGCATTAAAGGAGACATTTTGTGGCTGCGGATCTAGAGGCCTGGCGGTGTGTGCAACCTTTTTACAATAGATTGGTCTGTCTGGACTGCAGTAAAACTCTGTTGGGCGTCCCTATGACTACAAAGGACACCTTCGTGGATTTCACACACAGAAAAGGAAGAGCATTTTCTAGGAAGCGCCAGGACTTCCAGTTGCTCAGGGATGTTCTTGGAGCTTGCAAATAAATGCCTCAAGAGAAGCTGCAGCCAGAACATTCATTAACGCCTGAATATTCCCTCCGTCTTCCAAGGGAGAACAAGCAGGTGGATGTGGCCAGCTCCTCTAACATTCCTAACCACACAATCACCCTGTGAGGTAGGTCTCCCAGGCCCAACAGCCTAACCACTACATCACACTGCCTTGCTTCTCCACACCTTGAAGAGGGGACTTGTGGCTGCTCTGCTGCAAGGCAAGGATGGGGACTCCAGACGCTGTGGAAATGTGGGCAAGCACCACGTCCCGTGACCAGGCCTAGAAAGATGGCCACTCACTGCACTTTCTCAGAGACAGCCGAGAGACAGGAAGCTCTCCGTTCAAGTTTCCCCTCCGTTACACATGCAGAGGCCCATCTAGTCCAGGATTCGAGTCCCACAGCTGGCCCACTGGATCCCTTCCAGAAGCCCACAAACATGGCATGTAAACAACAGCTCTCTCCTCCCCAGCAGCAAGCCTCTGAACATGGGGTTTTTATTCAGCCCTGACTGCCAGCAGCCTTCACTAGATCTGCCCTGCATTAACATGCTTTGTTCTCCTTTTAAAGCCATCTAGGTTGGTGGCCAGCACCACCATCTTGCAGCAGAGAGTTCCACAGATTCAGAGATACAACTGAACCCATAATTCAGAAGCCACCACTCTGAGCAATCCACACCAGTGTCGGCCTACCTCACAGGAGTGTTGCCAGGATTATGACTGGTGCACAACGGACTTTGAGTATCCAATCTTAAGAATACACCAGCTCATAATTCAACTGTGGCACTCTTTCCCAGTGCCGGATTTATGTACAAGCTAAACAAACTATAGTATAGGGCCCCCACTCTCTTGGCCCCCCCCAAAAAAAAATTAAAGGAAAAAAACAACTGGATGTACATTTCCAAAATATAAGATAAGTTCACTTACTTTGATAAAAAACATTTTGTTATGTGTAAATGGCTTTAGATACCTATTAAGTCCATAAGTTACTATATAGCACATATTCAGCACAAAAAGCAGCCACAATTTGTTGTTGACAAAGGACAGCTGGACATATAAAGAGCCCCATGACCTGCGCGGACATGATTTCTGGTGTCTGCATGTACGCAGACATGATTTTCAGCATCTGAGCATGCGTAGATGCAATTTCCGGCACCGCAGAAGTGAGTCCCTGGGCCGTGCTGCGCCGGTTTAGTGCAGTGCACAGGGACTC